TTGTCTAAAAGAGAAAGGCCATTACTGGAAGATCTGATTAAGATATGGCAAAAGTGTTCCATGCAGGATGGATGTAAGATTTATAAAGATAAGACAAATATTTATAGAGATGTTTGAATTGATGTATACTTTTAAATTTAATATTGTATCATAAGTTGACAATATATTCAAAGACTGAAATTTAGCACAATTGTTTTAAGCAAAAGGTCTTTGCACACCACCAATTAAGCATTTATATTTCAAGAGTTGTTTATTGATAAAAGCTAGCCTTAATTTACATAAATAGTAATATTTGTAGATATTATTATCTACTAGATAATAATTTATATTAAAAACTAACCTTTATATGTCTCGTTTTCAAATATGTTGTGTTGATATATTTGCCCTGGCTTTTAGTTTATGACTCAAAATTTAAACATCAATTCTTGAGGTTTAACTATCTCATCATTTCTAAAAGTATCAAGGGTAGACAGCCTAACTCGCCATACCTAATCAAAACAAAAGAACATTATAAATTCGTATCTTTCTAAATTTATTGCTATTCAATTTTTTGCTTGAAATCTAATGCATAAATTTCAAAAAACAAATTAAAATTAAATAATATCAATAAGAAATTATGCAAATCTTTTTTTTTTATCTATAACTTATTAACTTGTAGTGCAATTATAATTTTTATGCAAGATTTTATACCTTTTTGTCGCAATGTAACTTAAGTCTCAGCTAGAATACCAAATTAATAAATAATTCTAAACTATATGTATTTAATTCTATACTAAAACTAAATACATAAACTCTAAACTATATACAATAAGTTTTTTTTATTTATTTAATCTAATAAACTCTAACTGTAACTATAACTCTCAGCTAGAATATCAAATAAATAATTCTAAACTATAACTAACTTATAATTATAAAAATATTAACAGTTTAAAAAAAATAAAATCCAAACGCTAAATAATCTATAACATAACATTGAGATAATAACAAAATCAATAAAATCCAGTTGTTGTTGCTGTTGAACTTATCGCGATTCTCGATTTCCCGGTTTTCGCTTTCAAACTTTTCGCTTTAACGTTCTTTCGCTTTAAAACTTTTCGCTCTTACGTTCTTTCGCTTTTAAACTTTTCGCTCTTACCTCCCATTACCAAATGAACACTAGTACTAGCTTAACATAATGGTGAAGCAGCACATAAAATATAGCTAAAAATTAAAATTTTTTGACTCACTTGCCTTAAATATAATGTGTAGAAGATAATTTTCGGCTGCCCTCAAAATTTTCTTTTCCCGCCTTTTCTCTATCGCATATAAACAGTACAAGCTACGTGGTTCGTGTTATTAACCCACCTATCAAGGAGTATCTTAAGAACCGCTCATCTAAACGTCATCAAAGTTACCTCAATTTAGGTTCAGGTAAATAATGTTCTAATAAAACAATAATTTAATGTATAACTTGTCTGTATCCGATTATAAGCTCATTTGAAAATGACATTTTTTTTAACACGATTTTTTATTATATTTTGTTAATTTTTAGAACTTTGCCTCGAAATTACAAGAGAAAGGAAAACAGTAGAGCTTATAAAACAAGTTAAACAAAAAAAGACTTAGAAATAGCTTTAATTAAAATCAAAAACCAAGGATTTAGCTTCAGGAAAGCTTCAAAAAAGTACAATATTCCATTAGGAACATTACACAAAAAAGTTAAGCTTGGGGATCAAGTTCCGAAAAAAAACGGCGGACAAACCAGACTTGATAGTATAACAGAAAATTTATTTGTCCAAACAATTGTACATATGACTGATTGGAGGGTACCATTTGATTCTTTGGATATAAGACTTTTAGTCAAATCATATTGTGATAAAAGGAGTATAACTGACGCTCGATTCAAAAACAATATGCCTGGGGTAGATTGGGTTCAGTCTTTCATGAAGAGACAACTTAACAAACAGGGTTGCTGATAATGTTAAGCACAGTTAGATACCCTTAGCAAATATTTTGATAATTTGTATAAAGAGTTGAAGGATATAACTCCAGAAACTATCTATAACTATGATGAGACCAATATAACAGACAATAACAATGCCTCCAAATGCGACTCATCTCTGCCAACCATTAGATGTTGCTGTTTTTAGAGGATTAAAGCAGTCGTGGAGGAGTATTCTTTTGAAGTGGAGATCAGAAAGTCGTATCAAAGGAGCTATCCCAAAAGAACATTTACCTACGCTTTTAAATAAACTAAATAATACTTTGCGACCAGTAGCTTTGGTTAGCGGATTTAAAGCAACGGGAATCTACCCTATGGACAGAACAGAGGTTATAAAACGTCTTCCAGGAAAATATAAAGATCCTAGTGGTAATGACACCGTTATGGTTCTTAACAAATCTGTTTTAGATATTCTAAAAAACAATCTAGGGTTAGGCACAAATCCAACTACAAAACGCAAACCTTGTGGTCCAAAGGTGGTACCAGGTAAAGGAATTCATTCTTTAGTTGAGTCAATTCCATCAAGTTCAACAGAGCTAAAAAGCAACACAGATAATGATTGGTACTGTACTTTCTGTAACAAAAAATGGGTAGAGTTAAGCGACGACGTGTGGGTTCAATGCGACAAATGCAGTAAACCATATCACCTCCAGTGTTGTGGCCTCATTTATGATAAAGATGGTTATTATGAGCTCAATATTGAAAATATCTTATACTTTGTATGCAGCATGTGTGAGTCATTTGAAGAATTTGAGGATAGTGATATTTAATGTTCTGTTTTTATGTGGAACAGATTTATAATAAATATTGTGATACATGTTAATATATTGAAAAAACTAGTTTTTAAACATAGTATGCTAATTTTTCACATGAACTTAGTTTAAATAAAAATATGTTCCATGTAAAATAAACTTCATGTTATCTGTTTTGATCTTTAACAGTTTTTTCCCCCATTGTAATAAGGTAATATAGCGATATACAAGAATATAGAAATAATATGTAGTGTTCAAAGTCACCCCAAATTGGCCGATCATTTTCACCCCGTTTCGGAAATACGTATATGCTCGTATAAAACCAGAAAACTAAGGTATTTACTGCATAGTGTTGATCAGGCTTACGACTAATACAGGAAGCTGAGTAGTATAATGTTCTGTTACAGAAAAAATGGTTGCGATCAGGCCAACAGTTTTCTTTCATGATGCAAAAATGTTCAAAAAGCGTTCATATTCACCCCCGTTTACGGTATCAATTTTAAACCATTTTTAAACAAAAATTTAAGTTGGTCTAAAGTCATCCCGTAGGGCCAAAGCCACCTAATTTTACGGTACTAAAAAAATAATAAAGGCGCTTTGCTTATATATATGTATATATATATATATATATATATATATATATATATATATATATATATATATATATATATATATATACATATATATATATATACACTATATATATACACTATATATATACACTATATATATATATATATACTATATATATACACTATATATATATATATATATATATATATATATATATATATATATATATATATATATATATATATATATATATATATATATATATATATATATATATATATATGTATATATATATATATATATATATATATATATATATATATATATATATATACACTATGTATGTGTGTGTGTATATATATACATATATATATATATATATAACTATTCCTTGCTGTTTTCACTTACATTCTTAAGTTAATTAAATTAATTAAGTTATTTTTATAATAGAATGTTAAATTTAACGCTTCGACTATCATAACATTCACTCAAAAATTCCTTCGTGTGAAAATGATATCCAAAGGAATTATTTGTGTAACAATCGTTATTACCAAAGTAAATATTATGAATCGTTATTATTGTCCTAAGGGAATCATAGCAATCGTTAATAATGTTCAAAAGGAATTAATTGTGTAGCAATCATTACACCATTCTTTTTTTTCTTTCGAAATTTGCTATTTACTTTCATATTGCCTCTCTTGCGATAGTCGGTAATAAATATTTAGTGCATTTTAATTATTTAAAAAAGCTAATGCGTTTTTAGTTCAAACAAGTTTAGAAGAAAATTGAATAATTAAACAAATTTTTAATATTTAAATATTATTTTATTTAGGATAATACATAAATTAGTTTATAAACATATAACTAAAAGTAAGAAAACAAGGCAATTATCAAAAAGATATTGAATAAAAATTCCGGTATTTAGAGAACAAATACCGGTAATACCAAACGTCATTATACTACCAAAAACCAGCATTGCATGTCCTAGTTGTGAGTTGTTTTTTATTTTCTAAAGTTTAGTCTAATGTTTCGCATGCTTTCTGTTTTGTAAGTTGTATAATATAAGTCTAAATGTCGTAACGTATTTGTTGTAAAGTTTATGCTAAAGTCAGATAATCGCCATTTTGCTCAGTGCACGCAAAAACTTCTGTCACTTAAAGAAGATAAAGCGCAATTCTTTAACTTGTTTAACATGTATTGCATGTAATTGAACAAACATGATTTGGTTGTTCCAACATTCAACAAATTATTGGAAATATTTTGTAATTTTTTTTAAAGATAAAAGTACAAAAAATATCTTTGACCACCTAAATCAATTAATTGCTGCAACTACTGTGCAGCGCACAGCCAAATTGATTAAATATGTGAACACATTTTTGTCTATAAAGATTTATCAAGAAAATATAACATCAACTTTTATCAAGAAAATATAACATCAACTAATTTCGCATTCAAAATACCCATTCTAAATTGGGATAGATTTGGACTCAATAATACAGCATACTCAATAATACAATTCTAGTTTTATGCTAGTAGGATTATTAGTATCCTTCCTGAATCTAAAACCATGTCTTGATAGGGCAGGGTTCAATGATAACTAGTCGAGACTTTACTAAATGCAATTGTATTTCGGGAGATTTAAACGCTAATTCTATGTGTCAGTATTGCTTATAACTTAAATATAATTTACCTCATTGGAACGGAACCTTTTTAGCAGTTTAACAGCTAAAACAATAAATTTACATTTGTATGTTACATGGTCTATAGCGGTGTATAATTGTATGTTACATAGTGTATGATAAGGTATAATTTGTCTTTAAAATAAAGTAAAAAAGTTAATGCAAAATTTAATAAAACTACAAGATGAGACTCAAAACAAAAATAAAAAAGAAGTAAATAAAAAAATTTGCAATAAAATAGTATATTTTATTGATAATTTCGATGGTTTTCGCAAAAGTATAAACATATCTAGGCAAAAATATTTATAAAATAAAAAGTTTATGTATCAACAAAACTTTCGCATATTTATAAACACGTCGAAAATACGTCGAAACAAACATGTCGAAACTTCTAATCTTCACCATCATTTTGTTGCGAAGCAATTAAACGCATGACGGAGGCTTGTTTTAGAAAAAGCTTAGCATCTTCAACAGTCATACTTTGCAGTTTTTTTTCAAGAGTAGTCAATCCATCGAAAAACTGTTTATAAATACAAAAATTATAGTAAAAATAAAAAAAAAATTTAAATACAGGTACGGGTACATAAATAAAAATACAGGTATTAAAGGTTAAACATGTATGTTGAGAAATAAAAACAGATAAGTTAAAGCAGATACTTTACAAACAGGTAATTTATGTATATAGCATATATAACATATAGGGGAGAGTGCTACTGAATGGACCTTGAACTAAATGGACCATTAGAAATATAAGAACTTAACAAGCTGTTAATTGATTTTTTTTAATTGAATATAATTTTTGTATACTCAAAGTTTCTTTGTAATTTTTGGTTAAACTTTATTCGTAATAATGTATTAATATTTATATTTTTTATTTTTTTGAAGACGAAAGTAATTTTTTATCGTTTAAATTTATTTCAATTTACACTATATATTTAAAGTAAAATTAACTATGATTAATAATAATGTTATAGATATATATTTTTTACTTTGTATAACATTAGAATGAAGGTTATATGATTTACTGATTGCTGTGATTATATGGGTAACATGTGCATATTGGTTAGTGTACTAGATGAACCACCATTGATTGTACTGAATGGACCGGTTCATTTTTCTGCAAAGCATTTATCGCGCTTCATTATGTTACTTACTAAAATAAAATACATGCGTTTTTTCATCTAAATGAACTATGGAAGTGTGAATTAGGAAATAAACCAAAATATCTAATAAACTTTTGACTTAAGGCTTAAGTATTCAATATAATATTAAGTTAAGCACTAATTATTTATCCCAATAATATGATCCAAGCAGTTGAAAATTCTTTGACAAAAACTTTATCTGAAAGAAAAGCTGTTGAGATATTTGGAGTCAAACGTTGAGATATTTATTTATCAGAAAGAATAGTTGTTGAGATATTTGGAGTCAAACGTTTAACTCTAAAGAGGCGAATTAAATAAATCTCCAAATGGATTAAATAAATTGCGATGTATTCCATATAGTAAAAGTTCTATGAAAGTTTTTTCAGTAACAGTAGAACAAGATTCAATATTGTATAGTTTCTGAAAAAATGGGATATTGGTATAGTTATATTAAGCTAAGAGCACTAAATTTGAATATGCTCTCAAATTTGAGAAGAAATGTCCACATTCTCGTCGAGGTTCTGCTAAACCTTGGTAAAAAAATAAACATGCAATTGTAGATTGGTTAAGAGCTTTTTTAATCCGTCCTCCAGAACTTGTTACAAAGAAACCAGAGGCAACATCCATTGGTCGAATGTCAGCATTCAACAAGTATAATGTAGATCTATTTTATAAAAATCTGCATAGTCTTTTGATTAAATACAAGTTTTCACCGAATGATATGTGGATTGTTGATGAGATTGATGTTACTACTATACAAGTACTACAGCATGTTTTAGCCAAAAAGAGACGCAAGTTGCTTCTGTTACAAGTGCAGAACGAGGTATCGTGGTCATAATGTGCAATGCAGTAAATGCAAGTGGATCATCAATAACACTATTCTTCATATTTCCGCATGTCCATTTTAAAGACTTTTTTCTGCAAAATTCAGTTCCCGGTTCTGTTGTCACTGCCAACAAATCTGGGTGGAATAAACCTTTATAGAGTGGTTAATTCACTTTATAAAAAGTGATCGAATATCTAAGACAAACTCTGTGCTGTTGATACTAGATAATCATGAGAAACATATGTCAATTAACTTTATTGAATTAGCATCAGATAATGGTGCACAATCCCATCCCATACATCACACAAACTGCAATCACTAGATATAACAGTGTATGGACCTTGCAAACGTCATTATAATTGTGAAATTGATAGCTGGTTGGTATCACACCCAGGAAAAACTTTTTTAATCGATGACATTGCAGACATTTCTAGAAAAGCTTGGGCAAAAGTATTAATGCCAGTTAACATCATTAGTGGTTTTTCAGCATCCGGAATAAGTCCATTTCAATCTGATTCATGAAAAGATGAGGATTTATTATTACTAAATTTTTATCACAGGTTACAAACAGACCAACCCAATCCAGAAACACTCAACATCGATCCAGTTTCAGTAGATGTTAATGAAGTTGTTGATTTTAAAGAACCAAAGAGGCTCTTCAAAATCAACAACTTCAGCAAAATTTAAAAAAACAAAACTTTTCTGAAAAACAAAAAGATGCTAAAGAAAACGTCAAAGGAAACCAAGAAAAAAATCTAAAGTAACTCAAAATCTCTAAAGTTTTTTATTAATGACATATAATAATGATGAGGCTGATGATATTCTTGTTGAAAGAAATGATCATGGTGTTAAAGATATTTGTGGAGGTATTAGATAAAATTATGATTTGTGTGCTATATATGAGGATATTGGTCGTGACAACGAAGTATGGCACCATTGCAGACAGTGTGTGATCTGGGCATATAAAGCTTGCACAAGTACAGATAATGCCAGCAAATATGTTTGTTATAATTGTAATTTGACTATCTGATTGAGGCTGGTCTAAAATTCTTTTAATTAATTCAGAAATATCAATAATGTCTCAACATACTGTTTTCTTGTTTTTAAACTCAATTTATCACCCTAATTGCTTTGCAATTGCTTGCAATGTAACTTGCTATGTGCAATGGTTTACAACTTGCAATATAGTATACAATATATAGGATAGTTAGTCAAGATATTATTCTTGTCTTCTGATTTAATATATCTGATGATATAGATATTGATCTTTTTTATAAAAAAAAAATATTTTGTGGTCTATTCAGTACAATAAACAGTACTGAATGGATCACTAAACAATTTGGTACGGGTCACATTTATCGCAGATTTTAACTATGTTCTGTTAAGGCAATTGTTTACAACTTTTAACGATTGATAGTTGAGATGTTAATCTTGACTTGTGAATTAATATATCCGCCATAGTTGTTGACAGTATGGGAAAAAATTGTTTTTATAAAAAGGTTGAATTTTGTGGTCCATTCAGTACTACTCTCCCCTATAGTTTCGTTAACAGGTAAAATAAAAACATTTTCACCCCCAAAAAAAATGTAAAGTTATTAACTAAAATATGCGATTTAGTGGTTAGTCACTAGCTAACCACTTTTAATGGCTACCACTAATAGTCTACTAAGTAACTGATGAGCAAAACTACAGAAGACTGCTCAAAATAACTATATAGGTTCAAAATGCCTATTTATATGTATATATAAACATATATGTATATATAAATATATATAGTTTGTGCTAAAACTGCAGGGATTTTATCCACAACCTAATACATAGCAATGTCCAGTCATAGCAGTCATAGCAGTCTAACACTTTTTTGTTGTTGGTGTTCTAAACCAAGGTTTTTTTGAGAAATAGTTTCTTGATACCTAAAAGTCATTTATTTTATGAGGGGCAAAAATAACATCCGGGTTCTATGATTGTGATCTCTAGTTGAAATAAATAGGTCAACTAACCCAACACCTGACATTAAGCCTGTTTTAAAATACAGATTAACAGACTCTAAATGGATTAATACCTGATATAACAATTCTAAATCATAAAAGTCACCTTGTTTTCTTTTATGATTTAAAAATTGTTATGCCCAACTTAACATTTGTTGTTTTTCATAACTAAACCCTCTATTTGAATGTGTCATTTTGGTGGTTCGGTGTTTAACTTTTTCAAGCGTAAAAATTTTGGCTAAGTTTGATTTTAGACTTCATGCTGAAGCCTCAAATTAAAGAGGTTGCAACATAGGTTGTATATTAAATTTTCCACATTTACAATCTCTACTTAGACTCAAAAGTTTCTCTACTTAAACTCAAAAGTTTTTTTTAATAATCTCATTATTTTTGAATCTAAGTTTTATTTTAAATTTTCCACATTTACAATCTCTACTTAGACTCAAAAGTTTCTCTACTTAAACTCAAAAGTTTTTTTTAATAATCTCATTATTTTTGAATCTAAGTTTTATTAACACATCCTTTTTTTGATGTTTCCATATCAGGTTGAACAAAAATACCTAGAATGGTATTACATATATAGATGGTATTACATCTATTTTATTAAAGTCGATATATTGTTTTTTTAACTGATAGAAAGCAAAGAGTTCTATTAGGTGAAGGTGAATCCTAATGTATATAGCAAGTGATGTGCCAAAAGGATCTGTGTTTGGTCCAACTTTATTTTCAACGTGATTTTATTACTACAATCACGTTTTTCCCCTTCTTGTGTAGTTACTATATTTAACCATTTTTTATTAAAAAAATGGTTAAATATAGTAACTACATTACTACATTTTTAATCTTTTTTACAAGAACATCTCCCTTGAGTCAATGTAAAATGTTTTACTTCTCAAAAATCTTTATACAACAATTAAAAAATCTCAACTTATTTACAGGGTTATTAATAACTGTATAGCGGTTTATTAATAATTACATATCAGTTTATTAACAATTATATATCAGTTTATTAATAATTATATATCTGTTTATTAATAATTATATAGCGTTTGTATATAATTTAATTTTTTAAAAATAAATGATACATTCATTGATTAATACCTTGTTCCATCAGAAAATCATTATTATTTTAAATATATTTTTGGTTATTTTAGCTCCATGAAAAATAATTTTAATGAAAGTGAACCTGTCAAAAATATAAGAAGGAAAAAAAGAGTACTGATTTCATCTACATTAATTAAACAAATTAAAATAGGAATGGACACAGTGGAAAAGTATATCTCAAATTGCCAATACTATTGATTTGGGAGTATCCACCGTTAGAAAGAGACTATAATATCAACTAAGAATAATCTTAGTGATTGTTTTAACCTACTACAGAAAAGCGGCCCCAAGCAAAGCTCCAGTTCTTGTGCTATGATGTTGTTATCTGAATGTATTCAAGATGACAATTCACTAACGCAGGGTGGAATGGCCAGAAAAAAAAATTTAAGAAAAAGGAATAACCATATCCCAACCATATATATCTTGTTACCTTAGGATGCTTATAAAAAAATTACAAGAAAAAGATTAAGAAAGGTCTCTTATGTCACCTGTTCACCAGAAATAATTAATGAGAGAAAAAGTTATTCTATTCAATATAGAAATATTGACTATTCTCAAATGTTATTCTTGGATGAAATCGGGTTCAATTTACATTGAAGACCAAATTTCCGATATTCACCTAAAAACACTCCTGCCTTTACAACTGTTTCTGCAAATAAAAGTTATAATATCAGTCTAATTGCATTAATATCAGTCAGAGTCATCTTAAAACATTCAATTATTGAGGGGCCTTTCAACATTGAAATTTTTTTAGAATTTCTCAAGTAATGCTATGAAGCAAGATTTGTTTGAAAATAAAATTCTTATTATGAACAACGTAAAATTTCATAAATCAGGACTGATAATTCAACTTTTTCAGGATAAGAATATTAGATATGGATATCTGCCCCATATTCTCCCCAGTTAAATCCTATAGAAGTAGTATTTTCATGTTTAAAGAACAGATATTAAAAATTACGCCCATATCCAGAAACTAAAGAAGATATTATTCAACACATTAATAGGGTAATAGTAGATATGAATGAGAATGTTGATTTTATGGTGTTTTATCAACATATGAAGCATTATCTTGATCTTGCTTTAATAGGACAAAAATTTAAATAAAAACTTAACATTTAACAACAGTTTTTATATTTATTATTATTTTATATATATTATTTTAGGTGCTTTATGAATTATTTATAACTATAAACAACCCACTATATAATTATTAATAAATCGCTATATAACTATTAATAACCCTGTAAAGATTTAAAACTTTTTTGCTTTATAAAAAAAGATTAAACTTAAATTAAAACAGTAATTGTAGTTGATTTTTCTGGTGTTTGTGTACAATGTATTTGGTCTGCTGTTTGTGTACCATGGAAAAAATTTTATTTACCAAATTTAATTACTATTTTGGAGCTATATATATATATATATATATATATATATATATATATATATATATATATATATATATATATATATATATATATATACACACACACACATATGCAAATATATATATATATTTATATATATATATATATATATATATATATATATATATATATATATATATATATATTTGTCACTTCCTATTCATTCTTTTAGTATGACTTGTTATTCTTATAATAGATTTTGTCGTATTTTTGTAATTAAATTAATAGTTTGTACACAGATAACTACATTTTGTATTGATTTTGTAAAAATCACCTATATAGGTATTTAAACAAATTTAAAAATTTAAATTCAACTGAAGATGACTAGTGATAGTCGAAACATGTATTTTTTAAAATTAATAAAAATGGTTTTATTTATTAAAAAGTTTGTCTTGTTTATTAAAAAATATATATATTAGAGTTGTCCATTATGAAAATTTTAAAAAACTTTATGCTTCATATGCTCAGCAACTTCATCGCTAAGCTAAACTTCAAATATTCTAACAAAATACTACCTCAACTTCAGAATCAAAAAAATCAAGGCCCAATATTGCAACCAACAACTCGTTTTTTATTTCCTCTTCCTGGTCAAAGAACTTGGTTTGTCTGTGTATTTCTGCTTCCATGTTTCTTAATTTATATGTGCAGTTATCAAAACTATTTTCTAAATTTTCAACCATTTGTTCAAATTCATCTTTCCAATCATAGTATATTGGGTCTGGTTCATTTGCTAAAACAAAAAACAAAAAATTTATTTATAAGCATTACACATCACATCACATAATTACAGTAATAATATACATAATTAGTAAAAATTGTGTTGGTAAAAAAAGTAAACAAAAAAACAAACAAGAAGAAACAATAAAGAATCTTAAAACTATATCAAAATTTACACTTTTTTTTGGAATTTTTTTTTTTAATTCTGCTTCACTCCTGCCAAGGCTGCAAGCAACCACTATGTTGTTACTTAGCAACCACTATTAAGTTGGGAGTTGTTAAAAAAAAAAGAATAGAGTTAAAGTGCAAGGAAATGGTTGACAGAAGATTTGAAAAGTTTTAGATTGTATTGAGAAAACAGAAAGATGGAAGTGAGTTCCAAAGGGTTGAGGTGGCGGGAAAAAAACTAGTTGATTAAAAGTTTTTACAGCATGCAGGGAAAGATACGGTAAAAGGATGAGACTTTGCTGAATGAAAAGTCAAGCAAGAATAAGTTTTAGTTGATGAAACTGTTCTTTATAGCAGCGACCATAATATTAATTGTAGAAAAGAGATACAACTTTACAACAAAGAGAGAGAGGCTCAAACCTAGCAGATCCAGCTACGTTTACAATCCATTTTTGAACTTTGCCAAAAAGAAAAAAAGCATCATTAGAAGAACCAGTCCAAAATATGACAACAGTATTTCATACAGGGACAAATACGATATTTGTAGAGGTAGAGAATGGAATAAAAAGATGATAAAGAGAATGATAAAGAGATAGCAATCTTAGCAGATTCTAACTTTGCAATTGATTGCATATATGGTTTCCATGGTTTCCATGAGAGGTAAATAGTGAAAAATAATCCAAAAAGGCATAAAGAAGAGAGGGTTGCCTTTTATTAATATAAGAATGTTGACAGTGTTTCAATAGTTGTTTACAGCTTATAGCTGAGTTTTTTTGGAGTTAAATTTTAAAAGCCACTGTAAGCCCCAATCTGTTACAGAAGTTATATCAGATTCAAGTTTATTTTAAGTGATCAGATTAGATTGCCTATTCTAAGCAATCTAAAAAAGATGAGTTTTTGTCATAGGAGTATAAAGTTGAGTTGTCAACAAATAGAACTTTAGATGTAAAATTATCAGAAAAATCATAAATGTAGATAAGAAACAATATAAAATCAAGGATAGAATCTTAAGGTACCCCAGAAGTTACTGGAAATAAAGAAAAGTGCCTTTGAGGTTGTTTTTAATAAAGCAGTTGAAAAGAAGTAATTTGATAATCTCAAAAAGTTTCCCAAATGAAGAACCATATGAAGCAAGCATATGGAGAGCATGCTAAACTATATTGAAAGCTTTAAATATTTCAAGAGCCCTTGCCACATTGTCTTCATTTAAAACATGATTCAACCTTTCAGCCACAGTAGTTAGCAAGTCTGTCATGTAATGAGAAGATATATAATGGTTATCAGACAGTAAGTTATTTGACACAAAATAGGAATTTAGAAGTTTGTTAAAGACTCAAAGACCTAATAATATAAAGAAGACTGATTGGGCGGTAGATAGAATGGTCAGAATGTTTTCTAGAATTAAAAAAAAATTAAAACTACAGATGCCATTTTCCATCAGGCAGGAAAACAAGATTTAGTCAAGCACTTAACAAATAGTTAAAAGAAAATTGAAGAGAGCTCTGGAGAACATTTTTACAAGAAAATGACAGGAATGTTGTCTGAACCACATAAAAGAGTTTAATTGACATATGGCTTTAGCAAGAGAAGCTGAAGTGATTTGATTGTCTAACAACCAGTTAACCTAAAAGTATGGCTATAAAATTCAAGAATTGAAATATAAGAAAAGTTTTCTTTTGCAAATAGCTCTGCCTTATCTGTGAGAGAGGTAACAAGCTCAGTCAAAATTTCATCTCTAATTCATGGGAATTAGAGATGAAATTTTAGACTTAACTTTGTTAATGAATCTGTTAAAGATTTTCAAAAAGTCTCAAAAGCCTAACTTCTGAGATAAGACATGAGATTTAGTAAACTAGTAAACTAGGAATAATGGAGCTGAGCATCAAAAAAAGTCTCTTGGTTCTTTATCTTGAGAAGATAAAGAACCAAGAGAAAAGATAGAGTGAGGAGGTGCTAAGCGGAAGCACATAAAAGAAAGCTTAGAGGATCTCAACTTGATTTCTTGACAAACACCTGAATTGATGCCCAAGAAGCAACAACTGAATTTAAATTAGTCTCACAAATTCTCAGCTCTCGTACACTAGTCATTTTAAATCACACCAAAAGTTTTCAATTGGTCGAACGTTAACTGGGTTTATATCTTTGGGTACAACTTTAATTTTTTTCAATTTTAAAAAGTTGATGACCAACTTTACGTAATGTGATCAAGCTAGATCAGGCCAGAAGATAAACTCATTGTCTTTTTTATAATATTCTGATACTAGAGGAAGTAAAGTTCTAGTATCTCTTTATAAGTGTACTGGTTGATTGCCTGCTTACTGTGATGAATATAAAGAGGGTTTATTCCACGGGGCTGATGCAACAAAAAACTAAGAGCTTGTCCTTCGTTAGAACATTGAGAAGGATCAGTGGCATAAAACCTATCATTACCAGTTAATGTTCTATTATTTAAGGTAAAATAGCTTTTATCATCCATAACAAAATACAAGTTTTTTTAATTTTCGTACAATTTACGATATTAAGGATGCATAGCTTTCTTCTGCTGATGGCTACCATCTGGACGATTTGTTTTTTTGAAAGTTCGAATGTTAGTTATTGTTTTTAATACTTAGGAAATTTGAGTTTGACTACAGTTAAAAACTTGAGCTACTTTTTATTTGGGAGCACCCTGACTTATTTTCAAAAAATGCAGCAATCTAAGGTAGCTACTAAATTTTTTTAGTAGCTACCTTAGCAATTCGACCACTTTTAACTTTTTCTTTTTGGAGATCCATTTTCCAATATTCCAACTTTATCGTAAGCAGTTGATCTGGGTAAACCCCATTTCATAAACTGCTTAGCAACAAACGCTTTACCTTTTTCTCGATTTTTTTGGAAAAAAATTTCCATCATTTTTTTGAGGTCCTTAACTTTGATCATTTTATTTTCAATACTTGAATAACATTTTCAACTTAATCAAACTAAATTTAAACAGATTATAAAATCCTCTTTCAAATAAGTATAAAGGTTTTTTGCGTGCATGAAATAAATTACATAATAAATTAAAAATTAAGGTGAGCGTATGCAGTTGGAGTCATTTATTGGTTACTGAGCTTACAATACATTGGAGATTTAAGCAGAACACAAACATAGCAGAACAACATACATATAGTAACTTATGGATGAATAAACACCGTGCCAGAGATTCAGACAGAACAAAAACATACAAATATAATATAGGTAACTTAACACTGTATTGGACAAACACAAGTAATTTAAAGGTGAGCTAAGACAATAAATAAAACAACTCCAACTATAAACAAACAAAAAAAATTACATAGACATGGCAGATTTTAGATATTGTTAATGACAGGTAATACACTTCTTCCAGTCTTTGCTTACAATACATTGGAGATTTAAGCAGAACACAAACAAGCAGAACAACATACATATAGTAACTTATGGATGAATAAACGCCGTGCCAGAGATTCAGACAGAACACAAACATACAAATAGCAACATATAGGTAAGTTAACACTGTATTGGACAAACACAAGTAGTTTAAAGGTGAGCTAAGACAATAAATAAAACAACTCCAACTATAAACAAACAAAAAAAATTACATAGACATGGCAGATTTTAGAAATTGTTAATGACAGGTAATACACTTCTTCCAGTCTTTGCTTAGAAAGTGGATCCTACAAGGAAATAGGACATGAAACAGGTTGCACTGGATTACAAATTACAAGTAGAATGGTGATAAACTTTGTATAAACTGTCAGGAAAGTAAATATTAATCTTAATGCTTGTTTTTAGTAATATGTATAGTGTAAATATATTTTTTAAATAACCAAACCATTGCAATAATATTAAATGTTTTTTGTTTTTTTTAATGATAATTGTTATTGATACTTTGTCAACCAAAGTAAACTTTGTTAACCAAAGTAAACTTTGTTAACCAAAGTAAACTTTGTTAACCAAAGTAAACTTTGTTAACCAAAGTAAACTTTGTTAACCAAAGTAAACTTTGTTAACCAAAGTAAACTTTGTTAACCAAAGTAAACTTTGTTAACCAAAGTATCAAGTACTTATAAGTACTTAGATGTATTTAATAGTTATGATAAAAGGCACATAAAAGTATTGATAAAATAAACTTATCACAAGTGTAATTCTTGAAAAAATGTTTTTAAAGCTAATGTGCTATCTCCAACCCCTGTTACCCCCTACTTATTTTTCTGGCCCCTCAATGCTAAACCTCATTCCACCACTGCCATACGCTTGACCTGACACACATCTTATAGTCTGCTGCTGCAAAGGAGTGCCGCTACATCAACAGAGAGTTTAAGCTGGGGCAGCAACCTTTCTTTCATTATTCTTTGTTTTTTTCTTCTTCTTTTGTTCTCAACAATTTATTTTATTACTCTTTTCATAAGATTTTTTATAAGATTTTATCAAAAATTTTATTAAACTATTTAACACTTATACAAGTTTGGAAGAATTTTTAAATGAATAGTAATAAATTGATTTAAAATAAATAAGTTAAAGTTTTACAAAAATTAAAAAAGCATTTAGAAAAGTTGAAAATTATTTAAAAAGTATTTATTTTCAGAAATATTCAAAAATTACCTTTGTTTCCTGGTGTTTTTATCTTCTTAAAAATAAAACTAATAACCATTGGCGCATCTTGTGTTATTGGCTCTTCGTTTGTTTCAGTAAATGCTTCACATATCAGCCCAACAAATAAGTTTATCATAACCATCTGGATTGACAGCATATATGATCCAAACATTATTGGACCAAAAAATGGAGCATTATTAAAGTAATCTGTAACAGATATCTTTCCCAAAAACATCGTTGTCATAGTTATGAATGATCTTGGAATTGATTGAAAATCTTCTAGCTTATCCATGTATATGCAAGTAGTAAATGTAACAAATGCCATAAACAAAACTAAAAACATTATTCCAAAAGACAAGAGAGGACCTCCCATTGTAGACACAGATTTACTAAGCAAAGAAATTAGTCGATTGAAACGCAATATTCGCAAAAACTCAAGGTTAGTAAAAAACAAAATAAAACCGAGACAACCAATGGTAAGATACTCTAGCTGACCAACAAACTGAAAACTAACAAACACTTCAGGATCAGACAAATATTCTGCTACTGCTGCGTTTACAGCCAACATGCGACACAGTGTAAATGCTATAACACAAACTGAACAAACAGTGACAATTACATGCAAAACATTCCATAGAGTGGAAAAATACTCCTTAACACTAATCCTCCGTGATAAGCGAACAATTTTGTATATACTAACTATTGTTATACCAAAAAAAATCAAATCAAATATTATGACCAGCTGTCCAAGCCCACCAACATACCGATACAAACGTAAAGCTTGAACGTTTGAATAGTAAACATAACCACCAGTAGGAAGTACCTCGTGTAAGATTGTCACAATTAACATAAGATTAGTGTTGGCATTGTAAATATTTATTTCTGTAAAAAGAGCTCTGGTGTATCTGTCAACCCAAAAATTATTTTTCAAACTTCTCCAGATTCTAAGTGCTGTTCCTTTATTTGGTCCAATACTAACAGAATAAGATGATCCAGTATAGGTATTTATTAAACCACTAAATGGAAAGGGATTCTTCAGCTGAGCAGTTGCTGAAAAAAAATTAACATTACCTCAGAAGTTTTATTTTTTTCTGCTTTTATTACATTATATATACAAAAAAAAATTAAATAAAAAAGTCTTTTAATTATCTTAAAATTAATTTAACAAGAAGCCATACTTTACTAAAGTCCTGTAACTGTTTTTAAGTAAACTTTTCTACTATTTAAAAATTGGGAAAAACAACAAAAATTAAATGTTTTTCTTTGCGGATGAATATAAAAAAACGAAAGAGAAAATCAATATACATACAAAAAATAAGTTCAAAAAATTCTATTATATAATATTTTAATGAGAAAATTAGCAGTTAATGATAATAAATATTTTGATAATTATTGAGTACTTCTATTTTAAGTTTTTATTAAATTCTTGAAAAAGATTTTCTTGCTAAATATAAAAGACCATTATCGACCATGCCCTCTATCTTTATCCTTCAGTTGTTATTGATGATTTTAATGCTTATGACACTGAATAGTTTCGCTCAAGTGTCAGTAACAGGCGTCAAGGCACACAACATAAGCCTTTCTCAATCTTTAACACAAATAATCAACATTTACAACTTGCTCCAAATCATTTACCTTCTCTACTTAACTTATGTCTTCTTTCTGATCCTAGTCAGTGCTCAATTTCCCTACATTCACCCTTGCTTCTGATCACAGTTTGATCTCTCTAAAATTATTATCTCATTCTTCTTCATCATCAGAATCCCCCTATCATTGTACTTACTTCTTACAACTGCCTTAAAGCTGACTGGGACTCTTTCTGTGATTTTCATTGTGATGGCTCTTGGGTTGAAACCTTTCGTCATCCTACTTTACTATTGCTAGAAACCATTGTAAAAAGGTTTTGTCTAACGCCAAAACCCGCTATTCTCAGAACATAAAATCTCGTATTTTATCTCAAAAACTAGGCTTCAGAGACTTTTGAAGACTGTTTCTGTGACTTTAACAGTATCTATAACAAGAGCAAATCTGTTATTCCACGACTCTTGTATGCTTCAGATTTTGTCACCTTAAGTAAAGAAAAGAATTGTTTGCTAAGAACTTTTGCTACAGAATGGGGCCACCGTTTGAAAATTTTGACTTTTTTGGTTACGAAACATCCCGAAAAAATCCTCTTAGGGTATGAAACTACACATGTCAAGAATACTATATCAACTTACTTTGAAATCCAAAATTAAAATCCGAGAGAGATATTTTGATTTGAAAATATTCAATATTTTCACCAAATGGATAGAAGTTGGTTACAACCTGCCCTTAACAAAAGGGGTCATATCAGTCCTAATACAGCCTAACTAATTTAAAAAGTAAAATTAAGATAGAAAATATGCCATTTTTGACAATAATTCATATTCACAATTTTAAAATTTTATTTGAAAATATTTAGAAAACCATCTTTCAATTTTTTGATATAATCAAAATTTCTCACTTCAAAAATTTTTCTTTTGACAAATAAATACATTCTTTACACACACACAAACTGAGTTTCTCCAAATTGAAAATGAGGAGTCTTTTATTTTCTTTCTTTCCAACTAAACTTTTTTGCTGTTGTAATCAACTACACAACGGAGGAGTTGACTGGAATATTCCGGATGAGTAGAGTTTCGCTTGAATCTTTGCCAGTGGGTCTTGAAATTTGAATGAAGAGCTTCTGTTGCTTGCTCACTGAATACACCTAGACCAACCTTGTGCTGATGAATGAATTGTTGAACGTGATGAAAAACAGCATGTGCCTTTGGTGTGACTGAGACTGGTAATTTCAAGTAGTTATCTTTGAAATCACAAATTTTTGCCTCATAATCTGGCAACAGAGTGTATCCAAAGCATGAAACCACAACCTGGTGAAATGAGCTCAATGCTTGGCATGCCTTTGTTGCATCTGGTGCTTTTTCAGCAATTGTCAATTGCATAAGCTCTTCAATTTTCCTCAGCACTTTCATGCAATCTTTTCCATTGAAGTGGCCACCATGAAATGGTTGCATCTGAATGTGGATTGAATCCAACCATTGTTTGGTCTTTGGAAAAACTTGAACCAAGTACTTGATGAGGTGGTTGACAACTCCCAGGAGCAAATGCAGTTCCATGGGTGGGATTGCCTCAAGGATCAATTCCCTGTCTGGAAAGGCAAACATTGGCAAATGAACCACATTTTCAAACTCTTTTGATCTTTTGGCATCACAACCAGACTTCACAAATTTTTTGTACAAGTCTCTGATGCCCCCGAATGTTCTAAGCTGACCACAGTTTTCCAAATGTGCTGAGTCTATGTTGCACCAACAGCAAGGATGCTTACTGCTGTGTGACTGGATTCCACAAACTATGTTTGCAAGCTTCATGTCACAAGAAATAACAAGTTTTTCTGAAATGGAGATTTCATTGATTTGGAGAAGATCCAGAATGTGCTTAACATTTGGGTAAGTCTCTGGTGTGTTCTCTGAAATGGCAACAATCAGTTGTTTTTGAACACTTGTGTTTTTGAAGTTGTCTTTGGTGATCAATTTTGATTTCTTCTGAACAGAACTGTGAGGTTCTCCTTCATGCTCACTGATAAGACTCAAACTTGCCTTAAAGAATGATCCTCCACCATCAATGCCAAGCTTTAAGAAGTTTGAGTTTTGCAAGCCTCTGGATGAAACAATATTTTCTTTGAGGGTTTCCAAATTTGTGCAGTGAACAATATGGCGTGTTTCATTTGATTCTGGTAACTGTGAAGTGGTTACTGTAAAGAAACTTTTGAGGGTAGTTCCAGCTGCAGCAAATTTTTGTTGAAAATTGGCCTCAACTATGCGAACAGGACTTATTTGATTTAAAGCTGACCCAAGCTTTCTCATTCCATTGTTAGAAAGTCCAATGTTTTGCTGAATATTAATCATATCTTGTGTTGTCAATGGCTCTGAGGAGAGACCCTGAGTTGCATTTGATCCTGTGAATAAAGAAACAAATAAGAAAAAAACCAATATTAAAAAGCAAACCCAGCAACAATACTTTAACATACCTGGTCTGATTTCAAGAGGCTTTCCATGAAACCGGCTAATCAGAATAGTTCCATCGGAAGATACCTCTTTGGAAGAAACGATGAATGATGCAATTTGCTCTGCCCCTAACGGATCTGCCAATGCCAGAGCTTTCAAGTTTTCACGACGTGTTGCTTCTTTGCAGTTATGAGGCAGTCCTCGAGCAATGACAGATAGGCATTTTGTGCATCGTTTTTCAAAAGATTTTTCTTCTTTTTGCACTTCTTGCTGAGATGGTTTTTCAAAGGGGTGCTTTCCTTTCCCTTTGGTTTTTGAAATTTGACAAATAATGCAATCACATTTAGTTGTCTGGCGAGTTGATGGTTTGATCAATATGGATTCGAAGTCATAAAGTTGAGGTATACTCACTTCTTCATCTCCAGAAGCTAACTTTCTAAGCAGGAACCTACAGGTGACACAGATCCCTCGTGGAACCCTCTCATCATCAAAGTTGATGTTGCCAGAAATCAATCTTTTGATTTCACTGATGAAATATTCTGAAATTTCTCTGTCACTTTTTTTCATACAAAGTGTGCAAACGACCTGCCGACATTGATTATGATCCTTTGAAAAAGTAGGCATTTCAAAATCTGAGATGAACTTGTGATCTGTTTGAAGATATCATTTAAACTAATTCATAAAGTACAAAGAGGTCATAAAACGTATGAAAATGTACTAAAAGTACAAAAAGTCCGTAAAATTGGAAATGTCCGAAGAGTACAAATTTTAGGAAAGTACAAATTTACGGCAATTCACGTATCAAATTTTTCATCGTAATTCGCGATTCAAAAATTAATCGATTCAAAACTTGAAATGGAAATATCTCCCCTTATAGCTCATTTCTCAAAAAAATTTATTAAATACGAAATCTTTACAAATTAATTGTCTAAAAAAGTTATTTTATTAAAAAAATCACTACGACCCACCCCAATACCGCTATTTTCAAAAACAAAAACTGCTAATGTTTTTATATTATTTCAAAAATTTAAATCAAAATATCTCTCTCGGATTTTAATTTTGGATTTCAAAGTAAGTTGATATAGTATTCTTGACATGTGTAGTTTCATACCCTAAGAGGATTTTTTCCGGATGTTTCGTAACCAAAAAAGTCAAAATTTTCAAACGGTGGGGCTCTCAGTGGCTGGTGTATATTCAGATATAACTTAACTTTTTTCAGATATAAATCAAATTTTTCAGCTTATCATTATTGCAACAATCTGGATCTTCCTATATTTATGAATTATAATGTACTCAATGAATTTTGCTGCGACTGCTCCTAAGTGCTCCAAAAATTCTTTTTCATTTAGTTTTTTTCCTCGAACATCAATTCTTTAGAATTTGCCTCCTTCATCTTGTTTTCCTGATTAATAAAATTTACAATCTTTTAAGTTCTTTGTTCACAATTATCTTGCTCTATAAAATTCATCTTTTCTCTTCCAGTAACTTTTAACAATTATCTTGCTCTATAAAATTCATCTTTTCTCTTCCAGTAACTTATTCACCTCCCTAAGGCCCACTCGGGCCTTAGGGAGGTGAATAATTTAAAAAAAAAAAAAAAATTTAGACCATCCTATAAATTAAGTGTGGCTGTTTAATAACATGTGTGTCTCACATCAAACTTTCTTTTTGTAATAAATAAAGTTTATAAACAATATATTTTAAATTTAAAAAAAGTTTAAAAAAAAGTTACTCTGATATAGCCATGGATCTTCAAGACCTTTCCACACAGCTTTTTTTTTCCCTTTTCTTCTTCGAAACCTTTCAGTTTTATTTAAAGGAGGTAGCCAACCAGCTTTAAACTCACGAGTCTCTTCAGAAGAGTAGCTGTATCCAGCATTACATTCATTTATTAAATATTTAAAAACAGGATGCTTTGTGCAAGAATCTAAGAATAGAATAATATATACATATATATATATATATATATATATATATATATATATATATATATATATATATATATATATATTAGTAACAATTTTGTAATTTTTTAAAATATAAATAACACTGTATTTATATTATTATTTTTAAATATGATATTAAAAAAAATATGTCAAAAATAAATTGAGAAACATAAAGGTAAAGAGGCATTTAGACATTTTATTTATATTTTTTCAGCCAAATTAAAAAAAAAGAAAAAAAGAAAAGAAAAACACCACATGTTTTTCTTTGATTTAAAAGTTCAATTGAAAACTTTAAAGGTTATTTCAAAATTTACTTAAAAAAATTCACTTAAAAAAATGTTCAAAATATAAAAGTTTGAAATGGTTTGAAAGTTAGTAAAAGTTATAAGTTGCTGCAACTGAGCAGGTAAAAGGTTTGCTTTACAATTACACATTAGTAACTGAATAAACTACTACTTGTAAGCAATAGGTAAGGTATGATGAAATTTTTAGATGTAAATTTGTTTAATAATTAAAAAAAGTCAAAAAAGAGACTCATTGTGGTGAAAGTTTTTCTATTTTGAAATTACAATTGTATCAACTGGTAAAGCAGAGGCATTACGGGCAAGAGTAAAGTAAGCTTGTTCCAAGTTCAGAGATTTAGCTTCACTTCAAACAGCAAGGAGTACATAAAAATATTTTATCTATGTACTCCTTGCTGTTAAAAAAATATAAATCATGTATATAGAGTTTTATGACATATGTCAGTGAAACACACAACTAAAATTGATTCTTTTCAGTGCCTAAAAATAATTAAAAAAAAAATTATGTTTAAATAAATGTGAGTTTAAATAATAAGAAAAGAATCATCAATAACATAGTATGAGATGAGTTGAATCATCAATAACATAGTATGAGATTCACCTAGAGAGTGTCAGAAAAGATTAATATGGTTTTGACATGTTGAGAGTAATGATGCAGTTAATTTGGGTATCAACATATAGATTAAGCAATTTCAGAAAAAAAAGATTGAAGACAAAGGTTGAAGAAAAAGGGAAATTTAGAGAAATAGCTCAGTTCTTTTTTTTTTTTTTTTTTTTTTTTTTTTTTTTTTTTTTTTTTTTTTTTTCAAAAAAGTTCAAAAATGAAGATGCTCATAATCTTGTATATTTGAGAAAAACCTTTATTTCTTACTTTGTGATACACGCAGTTGACGAAACCTTGCCATTGCTAATACTTTAGATGACGCAGAGTCAGCAATAAAACCAGCAGGATATTTCATTTTGTTATTATACCAGCCATCAGGGAATAAATACTCAATAACTGAGTAGCGTGTCCAAAGAAACCAATCTTCATTTGTTGCCACCTAAATAATGATAAATAAATAAAATATCAACAAAAGTTAAATCAAAATATTTTCTTCTATAAAATATTATGTTAGAATAAAATATTAACAGATAAATATACAGTGATATAATACAATATTATAACCAGATATATATGCAGTATTATTATCAGATAATACAATATTATTACCTGATAAATATATAGTGATATGAAAAATATACATTGATGTGAAAAATATACAGTTAAATATAAAGTAAAATAGAAAAAATATACAGTAATGCAAAAAATATACAAATCTAAAACAAGTTTTAATGATTTCTTAGTTTAATATGTGTGTAAATTAATTGATATGTTTCAGTTTTAAAAAAAAAAAAAATCTTATGTCACTTAAGTTACTTGAAAAGAGTAAAAGAGGTTGAAAAAAGTTTTGTTTATCAAATATTTTTTAATTTTATGTCCAATTCTAACACTTTTCACGTTTTTTTTGAAAATATTTTTAAAAATAGGTATGCAGTGTGGTAACTTGGTTGTAATTTTGACATGTAATTTTGGTATTTTTATAACGAATTTTAATTGTTGTGAAGTTCTAATAACTTTGTGAAAATATTTGCATACCAATCAGTATGAAGACTTATAAAGACTGCACAAAGCATTTTTTATTTGTATTTTAAAATTAAATAGAATTTGGGGCAAAACAGTAATATTTAAAATCTAAGTCTTAGCTAAAAATAATTATTTTTTTTAGATTATTAAATTAGATTATTAAATATTTACTTAGATTATTAAGGTGTTTAATGTAAACAACAATGGTAAGAAATTTATTTTGCAAAGGCTAGGAGAAATAAACTCCGACTAAAAATTCCCCTGCCTTGGGGCTCTTGGTTGAGTAAAGGCTAGAGATGGTGTCTCGATAAAAACACTCATCTTGGGCAGATGTTAACTGCATCCAGCTAAACATCCCCTGCCTTAGGGCTCTTGGTTGAGTAAAGGCTAGAGATGGTGTCTCGATAAAAACACTCATCTTGGGCAGATGTTAACTGCATCCAGCTAAACATCCCCTGCCTTAGGGCTCTTGGTTGAGTAAAGGCTAGAGATGGTGTCTCGATAAAAATACTCGTCTTGGGCAGATGTTAACTGCATCCAGCTAAACATCCCCTGCCTTAGGGCTCTTGGTTGAGTAAAGGCTAGAGATGGTGTCTCGATAAAAATACTCATCTTGGGCAGATGTTAACTGCATCCTGCTACTGTCTTGTAGAAGGCCTCCTAGGCAAAGACTTTAGGGGTAAGCAGAAAAATTCTGCTAACCAGCCTCGAACCCCTTCTTCATCTATTAGGCTGGCGTAGATGTAACCTGTGTTACATTGTTTCCTGCTTAGGATGATGAATGCTGGATCTCCTTGACTCTACTCATAGAATTTTGCTTATGCCTCCTTGATAATGGCTATGCAACTCTTCCTGTTATCTCCATATGAGGGTACAGCTCTAAAACTCAGTTTAATGGTTTTGAGGCCGGCTGGTAGTAAGGTTTCCCGAACTCTGTGGTAGCTCTCAGAGAGGCTGATTCCATCAACAGCTGCAAAATATCAGAGTATTAACAGTGCCATGTTGCGCATGGATGGTGTCCCTGTTAATGCTTTTGGTGTGCATTGTCAAGGCCACATAAGGAGCCCTATGTCACGGCTTAGGGTTAATTAACAGGACTGAGACAACTGCATAGCTCATTGATTAGGAGGCTGTGCTCTATCTATGAATGAGTCAAGTTCTCATTAAACCCAAATCATGACCAAAGTAACCAAAAATTTAAAACCTAAAAAACCATCCCCACCACATAAATATTTTAATATATCTTTTACAAATATTCGCGGTCTACGAAGCAACTTTCCATCAGTTGAGTCTTACCTCCTGCAAAATTCACCAGACTTGCTTGCACTCAGTGAAACAAATTTAAGTTCTGCAATTCCTTCTTCAGATGTCAGTGTTGATGGGTACTATCCTTTGATTCGTAAAGACTCCAATAGTCACATGCTAGGTTTAGGGGTTTACATACGCATTAATTCCCCTATTTGTCGTGAAATCAGGTTCGAATCCTTTGACCATTCTTTTATGTGCTTTCGCCTAGCACCTCTTCACTCTATCACCTTTCTCTTTGTTCTTTATCGTTCTCCTTCTTCCCATGATTGCACTCTTTTAGATGTTATCTCTGATCAAATTGACCATGCCCTCTCTCTTTACCCCTCTGCCAATATTGTTGTTGTTGGTGATTTTAATGCCCATCACACCGAATGGCTTGGCTCTAACACCACTGATCCTGCTGGCACTAAAGCCTTTACCTTCTGCGTTTCTCAATCTCTTACTCAGATAGTTAACTTTGTGACTCGTTTTCCTGACAACCCTAATCATTTACCTTCACTCCTTGACTTATGTCTTGTCTCTGACCCTAGCTTATGTTCAGTTTCTCCCTTTTCTCCCTTAGGTGGTTCTGACCACGCAATGATCTCTGTAAATCTTTCTTCTCGTACTTCTTTTTTGGGCTCACCTTATCATCGCACCACCTACTACTACCCTAAAGCTGACTGGGATTCCTTTCGTGATTTTCTTCGTGATGGTCCTTGGGCTAATGTTTTTTCTCTCTCAGCTGACAAATGCGCCTCCTACATAACCTCCTGGATTCAGGCTGGAATGGAAGCTTTTATTCCTTCTCGTCGGTTTCAAGTCAAGCCTCATTCTATTCCATGGTTTTCTCCTTCTTGTGCGGCTGCTATATCCAATCGTAATCATTTTTTTCATCTTTTTCAAAAGAACAACTCTCTTGAGAACAAACGGCTATTTATTATTGCAAGAAATCGATGTAAAAAGGTGCTTTCTGATGCTAAACTCCATTATTGTCAGTTCACTAAATCTCGCATCTTATCGCAGAAGTTAGGCTCTAAAGACTTTTGGAAAATCTTCAACAACATTGTTAACAAGGGTAGATCTAACATTCCATCTCTCATTCATGGGACTGATCTTGTTACCTCTCCCAGGGATAAGGCAGAACTGTTTGCAAAGAACTTTTCTTCTAATTCCACTCTTGAATCTTATGGAAATTTTCTTCCTTCCATTCCAGTCAAACAGGTTGACCCATTGTTAGACATTCAAATCACTCCGGCTTCTGTTGCTAAAGTCATATCTCAATTAAACTCGTCTACAGCTTGTGGTCCAGACAACATTCCTGTCACAGTCTTGCAGAATTGTTCTCCAAAACTTTCTTCAATTCTCTCTAAACTATTTAACAAGTGTTTGACTGAGTCTTGTTTTCCTGCTTGTTGGAAAATGGCATCTGTGGTTCCAATATTCAAAAACTCTGGAGAAAATTCTGACCCCTCCAATTATCGCCCGATCAGTCTTCTTTCTGTTATTACCAAGGTCTTTGAGTCTTTGATCAACAAATTCCTCACATCTCATCTTGAGTCAAATAAACTGGTGTCAGACAATCAATACGGTTTTCAATCCTCTCGCTCTACGGCCGACTTGCTAACTGCTGTAACTGAAAGATTTTATCGTGCATTAGATGGAGGCGGTGAGGCTAGGGCTATTGCTCTCAACATATCTAAAGCTTTCGACAAAGTTTGGCATGCTGGTCTTCTCCATAAGCTTGCTTCATATGGTGTTTCTGGGAAAGTTTTTGAGATTATCAAATCATTTCTTTCTGATCGGTTTATTAAAGTCATCCTTGAAGGCCAACACTCTTCTTTATTTCCAGTAACTTCTGGGGTTCCCCAAGGTTCCATCCTGGGCCCCGTTTTGTTTCTTATCTACATAAACGATTTTCCTGACAACCTTTCATCTAAAGTAGCTCTTTTTGCTGATGACTCAACTTTATACTCCTGTCTTGACAAAAAGTCTTCTCTTTTCGATCGCCTAGAACAAGCAGCTGATCTTGAATCTGATCTCACTTCAGTAATAGATTGGGGTTCACAGTGGCTTGTGAATTTCAACTCTAAAAAATTCCAATTGCTTACTGCAAACAACTACCGTAGTATGGTCAACATTCCTATATTAATGAATGGCAATCCTCTTACTGAGTTATCCTCTTTACGTCTTCTTGGATTATCGCTTACTACTGACCTTTCATGGAAACCATATATACAATCGATTGCTAAATTAGCTTCTGCTAAGGTTGCTTCTCTTTATCGTGCTCGCCATTTCCTTACTTCTGATTCCATTCTCTACCTCTACAAATCTCTTATTCGTCCCTGTATGGAATACTGTTGTCATATTTGGGCTGGTTCTTCTAACGATTCACTTTCTCTTCTTGACAAGGTCCAAAAACGCATTGTAAATGTTGTTGGACCTGGACTATCTGCTAAGCTTGAACCTCTTTCCCATCGTCGTAAAGTTGCATCTCTTTCTCTTTTCTACAGATACTATCATGGTCACTGCTCAAAGGAGTTATCATCTCTAGTTCCATCAACTAAAATTCATTCTCGTTTTACTCGTCATTCAGCTAAGTCTCATTCGTTTACTGTATCTGTCCCAGCATGCTCTAAAAACTTTTATTCATCTAGTTTTTTTCCCCGCACTTCAATCCTTTGGAACTCTCTCCCATCTTCATGTTTTCCTGACTCCTACAACCTTCAACTTTTCAAGTCTTCTGTCAACCGTTTCCTTGCTCTATAACTCTGTTCTTTTTTTTCCTAGTAACTCCCAACTTAATAGTGGTTGCTTGCAGCCTTGTTGGGAGTGAATGCAAATAAAAAAAAAAAAAAAAAAATTATATCAGAAAGAATAATCATTGAAAACAGGTTGAAATATAGCGTATGCTGTGAGCATAAAGGAACTTAAAATTAGTAAAAATGCTAATACATATGGCATATCTAAATTTGCTCTAAATTGACATATTGCTAATATGCCAGCCTATCAAAATTGTTGAGTTTCAGAATATTTTTTGTATGATTTTGTATGATTTATGTGATCCATAATATTTTTGTTTTTATTTAGTTGTAGTGACTAACTTAATTTTTCAGTATATTTTTTAAA